CAACAACTGCAGCATCTATTGACATTTAAATATTTTTTCTGCTCTAACATGCTCAATCTTGAGTGTGCATTTTATGCACATCTGCTTTCCATCGCTGCCGTGCATGCTGGGATAGGCTCCAGCCCCCCTCATGACCCTGACAAGTATAAAGCAGGTATAGAAAATGAATGGTTGGAAGGATTGATGGATGTGTGTTTTGTTCTAAATTATGGCCCATTAATTACAGTGACCACAGGTAGACTCTAGTGATAGACAGCTTTAGTCAGCTTGTCATTGCAGAGGGTGTTGAATGCTCATTACTTTGCAAAGAAACTCAGTTTGGGAACCATGGGTGAAAATAAAGTCTTCGTCATGTTGGAAATCTCAAGTAGCAAGTTCGTTGTATCATCAGTCATTGTGTATCGTGCACAGGAAAGGTGTGTTAACACTTTTTATTCAGCAAAGTAGAGCAGGTTGTACTTTCAAAAGAGAGAAATATCACAGATGTTGTTTATGGCCAGAGACCAGTAGACCAAGCTGTTTTCACTGCTTGTGTAGAGGTGTCTTACTCAGGGAACTCCAATACCAGATACAAGGTTGGTGGCCCGGCTGCTGTGTTCACATCAGAGCTGGTGGTGGCAACTCTTTGCTGTGCTTCCTTTCCATCATAGTTTTATTCAGAAACTAGTATTTTTGATAGTTAGACAATCAGAGCTTTACTGTGTTCAATAATGTTAATTTCAACTGAATCAAGTTATGTAAAATGGAAGGAGTCTACAAAACAATACAGTTGAACAGCACCACAAAGTACAGTTCCAAAAATGGCCACAATGTTGAATCAATGTTTCTTTAATACACTCTTAACTAAAACTGGACATTATCACCTTATTTCAGGGCTGTTGCATTAGAGTAGATCAGTTTTATTTTGGTTGACTTAATTGAGTGTAAACAGTATTTAGCAGGGCACAATAAATATCCAGCTTTCATTACAGATTCCCGTATGACCCGTCAAAAAGTGGATTTGTTACTCACTTAGAGCCAATAGCATTAAAGGATAATTAGAGAAAACAAAAGCCTGAAGTGGGGGTACTAATACTAAAAACTACTGCTTCAATTTTGACCATTATTGTTTTAATCCGTCTCTTGTGATTCCTTTAACTTCTTGGAAATGTAATACTAAATTACTATAGCACTCATTTAATTGCTTGACCTTTCACTGGGTTGGGACTAGGTGACATAATTACATTAAGTAACAGTGTTTTCTACTACTACTTGACTACATTCTAGATGAAAATATTATACTACATTCACCCAATTTACAAAGTTACTTTCCAGGCAATGATTTTGCACCCAAATATGAGAGTCTTATTAAATATGATGCATTTTCATCAAATAAATGACACAACAGTTAATAAAGTAGTTAAAATTACTTCTACTTTGACCAGATAAAATGAAAATGCACATTATAATCCATCTTTGATAATATTCCAATAAATGTCAAGCACTCATTTTGAAGGAATCATGCAGCATAATAATCTTTAGTTAAGCAGAGATTCTGTATACTTCTACCACCTTGGAGGAATAGTTGCTGATACCAGCCTTAGACCCTTTTTTGTTCTCCTACAATTATATGCAGCAGTGTAATTGTTTTTTTTATTTCTGTTGCTCATTGTTCATTAAATGTCATGAGAAATTAAGGGCAAGAAAGAGGTACAGCCTGAAAAATATGTGTGAGGCATTAATTGAGTGCAGCTTGCTGCAGAGAACCTGCTGAAGGTCTTGGATAAGAGCGATCGATCGATAATGTGGCGCGGAGGAGATGTTCTGCTGTTGTGTTGCAGATATGAATATTAATGACTTGTGGCTTGGGGGTGGGGGGGTGAGGGAGTAACAGAAAGCATTTCATAAAATAACTGGGTGAGGCGATATAGATTTTTCAGGCTTTTCACTAATAAAGCTAATATATTATCTGCAGTGCAAATGAGACAAGGGACACGGGTAAGTCCACTTTAGTGTCTGTATAAATGAAGTGAACAAACACTAAAATTGCAATAATCCGCTGGTGAATCAAAAGCATTATTTATGTTTATTGTTGTTTTTAAGTGTGTAAAAAGACCTCATTGTTCAGTCTACTAATTACATTTCAGGTCACAGGATATGACTCTTTTCTGGATGTGTTGCAAAGCAAACACAGGCAGTGTTCAAAATGAAGTGTAAATATTCACACTTGGTTCCCGGTCTGTTGCTTCATGTGTTTGTTTTTTAGTCTGTGAATCCACCTTGAGAACTTTGTATGGGTAAACAATATACTTCGTGTATACTATTCGTCAGTGGTTACACCTTTAGGCTTATTTGGAGTTCTACGTTTACCTCCATTGTTCATGTTTCCATATAATTTCATTATATGTGATTACAACAGTGCAGCAGTTGCTTCTTAACATGACCATCTATAGTCATTAGAGCCACACTACACCCAACAAGAGGTATTTAGCGCTAATGTATGTCCATTTTTCATCATTATTGTGCAAATTTATGCTGTGAGGCGCAGTCACATCACCTCCTCTGTGTGGGGAACCAATGACACTAGTGAGAAGTTGTCAGCATGTAATTGTTATCGAGGGTGAGACGAAGACACTAGATGACCTACAGTGCCACATTCTAAACATCTAAAATGAAGACAAACATTAGTAATCAAGTTCAAAAATGTTTTATATTTTTCTTATGAACAGACAGGGTCAATCTGACACCAAAGCAAATATGAATTACAAAATGCTGTTTCAGTTCAGTTTTCAGATTCTTTC